GTTTAGGGCGTGGTCAAGAGGCGAAAGTGACGATGGGATCCATGACAAACAGCGGGTCCAAACCTCGTGTTTCTGTCAAGTAAGACGCACCTAGCGGCACCTGTATCAGCAACGCCTTACCCAAAGATGCTTGGTGCTCAACTCGTACAGTAACCGTATCGCCTTCTGCCTTAAGGACTGATCTGCCGTTTCTCCTCATCACTATCACACGCTTCCAACGCCTTTTTTACCGACTTTACGGTCCACGACTCCGCTTGTTTCGACTGACTCTTGCGAAGACCACGCTCGTTGTTGAGATCATCCCCGAACGACCAAACGAATAATTACGCTCGCTTTCTTTTACGCGTCGGCAAAAAGAAACGGGAACGTTGAACATTGGAAGTCTACAGGCTATCGATTATCGGGCTGTGGCGTCAGACACCTGCAACCCAGCCACTCGGAAGCGACAGATTCCGTGTAAGCCTGCTCTCCAGTCCGCGACGTCTTCGCATTCACATCAGCCCATTGCGCTTTACGTTCTTTTTCTTGTACACAATTTACGGCCTTGATTCCAGTCATGACGAGGTGCTAACACGCTTGTCGCAGTTTCTGTTCTTCTTCGCTGAGAATCCACCTTCGCTTTCGTTCCGCACGCCGATTCCACCACGATGCGTTCCTTCTGCCAGCTGGCCGTTTTGGCCCTGCCATTGTTCAGCACTGCCGTTGCTGCTTCACCAAACAAGCGAGACGATCACCCAAAGACCATCTATGCGACTGCACAGGAAGCGTTCCAGGACTTGCTGAACGCGCTGCCAGAAGAATCTCTTCAAGCAGCACTGAGCGGACTGAAGGACTTCAAGAACGGCGTGTTTGAGTCGCACCACCGCGGCGTCGAACATGTGCACGAGAACAACCCAGCGCTCGCTACAAAGCTCATTGTCGACGCTGTCAACGACTTGAAGAAGAGGCAGGCGCCGGGCAATGGCACGGCTTCTGCCACTGAGGCTTCAACCCCACAACAGACAACCGAGGACGCGCCTTCATCACAGGCGAGCGAGGCTCCTCCGCCAGCAGTCGAGACCACCGTAACGCAGGTCCAGACGCAACAAGGCACCACCGTCACCCAAGTACAGACACAAACACAGCAGCAGACTCAACAGACCCAACAAACTCAACAAACCGAGCAGCCCCAACAATCGCAGCAACCCTCGGACGACGCACCCCCCTCCACCGTCACCAACACGCAACAACAAACCACAACCCAACAAGCCACCACCACCGTCCGCCAAACCACCACCCAACGCCCCGCCATCATCCCCGTCGAAGCCACCATAACGCAAGACGGCACAACCGTCGTCCGCACCACGCGCGTCCTCTCCGAAGTAACCGCCTCCGTCCCCGTAACCCTCGTGCGTACAAACTCCGCCGGCAGCACCGTCACCCAAACCGAGAACCGGCCCGCCGTCATCCGCACAACCACCGATTCCGCAGGCCGCACCACCGTCACCACATCCGCGGCTGACTACGCGCCTACCGCCGGTGAGGTGCAGACTGCGACGGATGAGGCGGGAAGCACGTTTTTGACTACGTACACGCCTGGTGGTGGGCTCGTTAGCAGCATCAAGTTGATTACGACGACGGATGCCGAGGGAAGGCCGAGCACTATGACGAGTTATACGTTTGTGGATCCGATTCAGGCGACGCAGGCGGGTGGGGGTGATGGCGGGGATTCGACGGAGCAGCCCAGTGTGCAGACGGGTGCGGCGGGTGTGAAGGGCGTGCCGTTTGCTGGGGCTGTGGGCTTGGGCGCTATGGCTTTGTTCTTTTAGATCAAGTTAAGTGAGTAAGTCTTGTGGCCTTTCTCCTTCTTATCAGCATGATGGTTAGGATGGAGGGAGGAGAGGAAGATGAAGATGGAACAAAGGGTATATATAACGAGAAACACGACTGGCTTTGCATTTTCAGGCTTTTTTCACTACTTCGTTTGTATATTAGCGACGTCGCTCCTTTTTTTGTTCGGTTCGATTGGTTTGGAAGATACCCGATACACGCTCCTTTATGATTGATATATACGGTGGATAGGGAGGTTGAATGTGCATATACGGTGTTGGTGTTTGGTGGGATGGGCGACTGGGTTAATACTTGGCATACATACACGGAGCGGATTATTGCTCTTTACTATCCTTCGGTATATATAATACAACAATACAAATTTTGAGAAGACAAGAATATGGTTAGTGCTAGGTGTTGTGCAGAGCGGTATATTTGAGAACTATGGCAGAGTGTTCATGGTGCAGATGTATAAATCGAAAGCGATGCAATGCATGTGTGTTTATAGATTCTGATCTGAAATAGCTACAGAAAGAGAAGATATCGAGGGGTATTGATGTTAAATCAAACGCCAAGTGTGCTATGCTCCAGACGAACCTGCCCAGCCTTTCTCGCTCAATCGCTCATCCTACGCTTCCTCCCGTCCAACTGCATTGTGAGGAATCCCAGAATAAATGTTCAAGAAAATGTCCACCCATCAGTGTTGACCTACAATCCCTTCTATATGATACAAACTCACCAACCATCTCCAATCAAATCGCCTGCCTGCCTCAACGCGCCTTTGTAGCAATAAAATACTCCACACTCTCCCCCGCCCAACTAACGCTATTCGTCCCACTCTCAAACCTCTCCTCATCAAAAAGCCCAGCAATACTCTGTTCATTCCTAACCCCCTGCTTGGCACCGCCACCAAAACTCTCTAAACTAACGACTTTACAGCCCTGTTTGAGGTCGAGAAACTTCTGCAACAGCAGATTATTCAGCGTCTCGCCAAACACCTTGTTGTTGACCAGCACAACGTCAGCGCGGCGGAGGACAGCGTCGATGTCCGGGCTTTCGAGGAAATCGCCTTCGATGAGCTCGATGCGGGGGAGGGCTATGTTCCAGAGCTTCGCCCGCGCTTTGAGTTCAGACGCTTGTTCTGTGCCGAGCGAGGCGGCGAGCTTCATTTTTTCGATGCCCCAGCTCTCGGCGCCGGTTTGGAGGGCGGACTGCAGGACGACGTTGCCGACGCCGGAGCCGAGGTCGACGAAGGTGTGGGTGGAGTTTAGGCCGGTTTGGGCGAAGATTTTGTGGACAAAGGGCGTGAGGAGTTCGCCGTAGGTTGTTTCTTTGCCTTCGACTTTGCGGAGGCGGTGGGCGTGCGGGGAGACGATGCGGTTGTAGCTTTGGGCGGTGATGCGTTTGACGAGGCTGAGGGGGATGGCGTGCATGTCGTCGAGGATGCGGGGTATCGTGCCGTTGGCGTATTGGTCTTTGATGAGCTTGTTGAACTTGGCGATTTCTTGCTTGAAGAGTTCAGGGTCGTCTTTGGTTACGGCTCGCTTTAGGAGGCGGACGGTGCCTTCGGCGTCGGAGGAGAGCTCGTTGGCGAGATCGGGCGGGAGGTAGTGCTGGATGATTTCCTCTATGCTGAAGTAGATGTCTTCTAGTGGGCTGTACTCCTCGTCTACCTCTTTCCGGGCTACTGCCTCGAACTTTTCTGGTCGTGACAGGCTGGGGTACTGGAGTTCGACGGTGAACTTCTTCTCGCTACCGGGGAATGCGGACTTGTAGGCTTTCGCCCCATCGTCTTTTGTCATCTCGAAGCCGTGCTTCAGAGTGCTCTTCCCCGACACGGCCTTTTTCTTTCTGAATGCGGCGTTTTCTTGCGCCATCTTCATCATATCCGACGCGCCATTCGATGTGCCGTTCGCAGTTCCATTCGATGTGCCGTTGACGCCATTCGATTTCGCCTTGGCATCAGGCTCTACTATCCGTATACGTCGCTTCAAGTCCGGCTCGAGCGCGCGGTTCAGACTCATCGGCTCAGTGCTACTACTCGCTGGCCGCGTCTTCCGTCGCTTGACGCCCAGCCGGCTGGTATCCTCATCCTCGCTCGACTCATCACTGCTAGCCCATTGCGGCGTGTCGGTGCCTTTACGCTTGTTGGTCTCGACACGCGACACGGAAACCGACTTGCGCGCGGGTTCCCGCGAGACTGTTTGCGAGCGCGGCGTGGACTGGTATCGGTTCGCTGGCGGGCCGGATGCGCTGTAGCTACGTGTACCGTTGCCGGGTCGCGGCGATGGTGAGGGGTTCGCTGTGGGGGCGGGCGCCTTCTTGACGAGGACGGTTCTCGTTTTGATCTTGGGTTTTCCGGGGACGAACATGACGGCAGCGCCAAGTTAAAGTTTCTAGGTGAAAGCAGGGTTGTATGCAGAAGAAAAAACGGGGGATGAAACGCGGCGGGCCGGTGCAGATGTGAAGGAGCGTGTGGCCAAGGGCAGCCGGCAGTGAAAAGAGAAGGACGTCGAAGGGAAGGCAGCAGGCCGGTCAGCCAATACGGGAGGAGTCGCACGCGCAATGGACGAGATACGTGACCCAGCGACGCCCCAAGCCTGTACGCCACTGCACGTCTTACCGGGATCGTCTCGCCTATCCGTCTTGGCATCCGTCCCTGCTTCTGTCTACCGACCTGACCTCGCATCACTCACGCCAAGTATCATCAAAGGCCCGATATCGTCAATTCCTGGACACTCGATTCAATGGCAGCTTCAACTATAGTGGTGCTCTCACTCAAATGCCGCCTTAGCACAGCCCACGCTACCATTCATTCAACGGATTGTTCGTAGACATCTGACGCTCAGTAATCAACACCGCCAGCTTCATATACTAAAGTCGTATCACACGACCCTCCTGTCTACCTACCTCATTGAAGTCTTCTGTATGAAGATCATGAGTTATCAACAGCGTAGTCTTCAATATATAGAACAACAGGTAGCCAGCCAGGTCTTCTGTCTCCATACCAGCCCTTCACAGCGGTCTCATGGATAAGGTAAAAGTTCAGTCTCACCGCAACCATTCTACCCCCTCATCTATTGTGCCATTGCTCATCGTTTTGACATTCCCTCGTTACCTTGCTATTGTTATCTGCTGTTCTTTTCACAAAAGTCGATCTTCGAGAAGAGTCGAAAGCAGCTCATCCTCTGATGCGTACAGTCACTAGTGAGCTCGTGGTCTGCGGTAACAACCCAAGCATCCCAGAAGTCAGCCGAGGCGCCTTGACAGAAAGCCGTTTGGACCATGTATTCGACTCCGGAGACACCATTCCAACGGGTACCTTCACGTTGGGTTTACTGGCAGATGCATCGATCGCACTTCGAAGAGAAGGCAGTGCACTAGAGATAGTGGACGAAGATGAGTGCTCAGACTTCATGGATCCCACCCCCCGAGCACGACGCCACGCCCTAGACCCCAGTACCTCATCGTCCGTCAAAGCTCTTCTCGTGCCCCAGACAGAATCTCGCATCCCCCACGGCCCGGCCAACCAACCCCCAACCGACAAACTCCTCAAAACAGTACCCACATCCCTCCGCAACCGCGCCAAATCGCTCCATGAACCTCAACCCCTTCCCTTCCGCTGGACCCTGCCACCCAACGCGCGTTTCCGCATTGGCGACCCGGAAGCCTTCGCTGCTCTGCAGGTCAAGAATATAGAATGGTATGTAACCACCGGTCTCCTCGTCGAAGACTTCACAGGTCTACGCTGGAACGCAGGAAGCTACACGTATCTTCTGTACTGGCATGTAGAAGGTATGCCTACGCCCGACGGTGTTGCAGATGCAGGACGGAAGTGGCTGAGTATCAACCCAGGTTTCATGCGCGATTGGCAGAAGGAGAAGTGGGAGAGGGAGTTTGGAGATGAGGTTCTAGTTGTGGAAGATGAGCCTGCGACGCCGATTGTTGAGCGAGAGGATTCGTGTTTAATCGAACATCCCCTTCCTGTTGTTACAGTGGGTAGTCGGCCGCCTACGCCGAGTCGAGAGAGGTGTCTTCTTCCGGGATCGAAAAGCGCGTTGAAGAGTAGCTGTCAGAGTAGGCCGGTGTCTCCCTCGCCGTCACTTGTATCTGATACTGGGTCTGAGTCGCCGAGGAGAGGGAAAAAGGTAAGATTGCTGAAGGAGAAGCGGAAGAGGATTGTGATGTGGGAAGCTGATGATGACGACGATGTGTCGGTAGCAGAGGAAGGTAAGTTTGTTGAGACGATGGTGGATGAGGTGGACACTCTGAGTGATAATGAGGGGAGGACGGCGAGGAATTGGGGATGATGTGATGAAGGAGATGGGAGAGAGAAGGCTTTCCTTGGATGTATGGCCAAAAGCACTAATTGCAGTAATACCGTCGATATTCGCTGCCACTGGATCAAATATGGAACGTGATGGTGTTGAACACAAAGTAGTCGTTGAGCAAGAGCATCTTGCACCACCTACATTTCGATGCATAGTAGCCTCACCAACCCGGCATACTCCGTACACGTGTAACGGTTTGCACATTAAATGCCTACGAATAATCATACATCCTAGAAGAAAACCCTCTCAACCGATCAACGACGTCGGTCCCGGCTACGGCTCCGAGGAGTGCGACTCCTCCGCCTACGTCTATCCCTATCGTCACGTCCCCTATCTCTGCTGCGCTCACGACTCCTCTCTCTAGGCTTGCGCTCGCGCTCCCGATCTTTATCCTCGGCCTCAGCAGCAGGAGCACCGCCAGGTTGGTAGCAGTCAGACTCCAGACGCCTACTACCACGGTCTCTACCACCATCCCAGCGGTCATAGTCTCGAGCCCTGTAGCCACGCGCACGATCACGGCTATCATCGCGCTTGCGAGGCCGACTGTCGTCGCGCTTACGGTCACGGCTGTCTTCGCGCTTCCGAGCACTGCCACTGCCAGCACCTCCACCTCCACCGCCACCGGGTACATAACGGTCGATGTTCTCGGGGCTTCTGGAGCGACGGCGGCGCCCGGATGCAGGCGTTCTCTCGCGCTCACGACGGCCGCCTCGTGAACGGGAACGTTCTCTATCTCTGCGACGCTCCTCTCGAGGTGGCGACGGGCTGCGCGTTTCATAGCGTGACTTGCGGCGGCTGGTGTGAGTCTCTCGCGAGCGGCTGCGACTCTCGCGACGGGACGGCTTCTCATCTCGGTCGTCGCGATCGCGTCGTCTACCGTCATTTGAGGGCCGGTAAGAATGTCTATCATCGTCGCGTCGGGAACGGCGGTCGTCTTCGAAGCGCGAGCCACGCCTGTCGTACCGACTTCCGCGAGACTGCGATCGGTTTCTGCTACGCTCTCTTGTGCTGCGCGCGACACTGGGGGATCTGCCACGCTTCGAAGGCAACTCAGGTCGCTTGTCATCCCACCGACCCTTGGCCGCCTCTGTTGCGGATGGGGCATCGGTCATAGTGGTATCCTCATCCTTCGCAGCCGCATTTGGCGTACCTGGAGCGGGGGACTTTGCGTCTTTGCTGGGTGACCTTTCAGGCCTGCTGTCAAGCCTGTCCAGTCGAGCCTTCACGGGATCGCGGGGAACGAGCGACTTGGGAGGCTGAGCTTTTCGCATAGGTGGTTCCAGTGATTCTGATCGCGGAAGCAGAGGCCTCCGTTGTCGTGACTTCTTCATCTCCGCACTTTCCTGTAGCAGGAGCTCCAATGCCGTCTCGTCGTCAACTTTGATGTCTTCAGGCTTGATCGACAGACGGCGTTCAGGCGACCTGGTCTTTGTCCTGCTCCTTCGCCTGCTCCTGTCTCGTCCACGCCGGTCCCTTTCGCGATCGGGAGTCCTGCTACGGCCACGACCACTGCGATGGCGACCGCCGCGATCTCGATCATGCTCCTCTTGTAGGCGGCGCTCTCGCTCAGCATCTTCTTCGCGGATCTTCTTGAGACGGGCTTCTCGGCTCTTCTCATGCTCTTCTCGCTCCTTCTCGCGGCGTAGACGCTCCTCTTCTCTCTCCTTGTCAATTCTCTCTCGATCCTTGCGTCGGCGCTCTTCGTCTTCCTTGTCGCGCTCTTCACGCTCCTTGCGCCTACGCTCCTTCTCCTCTTGTCGCGCCTTCTCACGGGCTTCGTCCTCTTCCTTCTCGCGGCGCTTGCGCTCTTCCTTCTTTGCCCTTTCCTCACGTTCTCTCTCGCGCTCTGCCTCCAACTCTTTTTCTCTCCGGGCCTCACGCTTCTCTCGACGAGCGTCTGCTTCTTTAGCCCATTCCTCTTCGCTCTTACTGCCTCGCTTCTCCTCTTCAGCAGCGGCCTCAGCGCCTATTTCGGCAATGCGGTACTCGCGCATTTTCGGTACGCCGTGCTCATCGATCAGTTTGTCCAGCAGGGTGTTGACCGTGTTCATAATGTTGCCGTAGATGTCGCTGCGCTCACCCGCGCCTTCTATAAGTGTAGTCGCCATTCGGGGATCCTTGGACAGCAGCGAGGGATTACGGTCGGTTTCGCGGTCGACGAGCTCCTTGAGGGCGGCTTGCAGTTCATCCTTAGCAGGCTGGCACGCGAAGGTTAGCCTAGCATATAACAATAATCAATCGTTGGCCACCTACTCCTGACACATATTGCTTCATCAAGTCTCTGCGTATGTCGTCGTATGCGCCCTTCTTACGGAACATGTGCACCAGGCTGTCGATGGCCGATCGCTTCGCCTGTGAGAGCGGCAGTTCCGATGGCCTCAGCTTTTTGCGCATAGTTGCAGCTCCATCGCTTTCACTTGGGCGCTTGCGGCCGACTTCCGCCATGGTTGATTTTACGTGATTGCGGTCAGTCGTTTTGTGTCGTTTGTGTTGCGGCCCGGCGCATCAAGACGGGGGTGGGAAAGGCTGGCGAGCAGCGAATGACGTAGGGGGCTAGGCTGGTGCGCCAGCTCAGAATGGTAATAGTGAATGGATTGTAGAGCGAAAGCTAAAAAGTGAGCGACGGTATCAGGAGAGGCGCGAAGGCGGCATTGTCGCGGAGGTGAGGTCGGCGGACCTTGGTTCCGCATCCGCGTGGGTGGTTCGTTCTTGGCGTCCCGGAGCTTGACGATGGAGCATCGCAGCCCAGAAAGCCAGTACTGGTACAGCGGTGACAACGCGCCTCACGACACCCGCCCCGATTGCTGCTGCAGCACAGAAGGAGTTCTCTACACCGACACAACATCCACGACTACACCCGCTCACCATGGTCCACAAGATCCTCTTCTGGAGCGGTTTCGGTATGTCCCCAGCCGCCCGCGCATACCCCAAGGCCTCTACTGACGACATATACCAGGCGTTGCCGCCCGGCTATGGCAACTCGGCATTGAGATGCGCCCGCTCTTCAACAAGGAATCCCTCTGGGTTTACCCCCTCTACGCCGGCGCCGGTGGCAGCTTCGGCTACTGGCTCACAGGTGTTGAGAACCGACAGTTCCGCCTCCTAGCCGACCGACGAGACGCCCTACTCGAGAAGCGGGCGCGGAGGAAGGAGCGTGAGGAGGCCGCTGGTACTTCTTAGGCGGCCGTGGCCTGCAATGGCAAGAGACAGTGGTGTGAGGGGTAGGGGAAGCTGGAACTGGGCATCGCACGCACGGCCAGAGCGTCATCTCAACTACAATGGGACTGAGACTATCATGCGCTACTTCCAGCGCCCCATGGGGAGCGGATATGGGCATGCAATATGAGCGGGGTTGGATGCGTTGAGAGCAGCCTTCTACCACATCTTGGATGGCGACTCGTTCTGTACAAATTTCATTTCCAAACCAACTACAAATGCAAAATCTCAATCAAACGCCTATACCAAATTGTGCTCAAAATGCGAGATATTGCCTAGTCGCGTAACGCGTGACACTACCCTAATGGATTAGTGCATGACTCCTGCCTCTGCTATTCTGAGCTCATGGAAGGGCATCCACCTTTGCGAACACCCTGTCAACATCACCATGACTTGATAAACCCGCGCCACGACCCTTGTGGTCAACCATCATTGCACGCATCTTGCCATGTCTGCCGAGAACTTTCTTACGCCTAACGGCGACCACGTAACGCCGTCTTCGCCGATGTCCAACGGCAACCTCAAAAGCAAAGGCATCGTTGTGTTCTCAGGCGGAAGCGCTGCGAACAATCTAGTCGACGTGTTCAAGAAAGTCAGAGAAGACAAGAGATGCCCGCTGAGCTATGTCATCCCTATCAGTGATAACGGCGGCAGCTCGTCTGAGCTGATACGCGTCTTCGGAGGACCAGGTATGCGCAGTGTGAGGCAGAAACGACACAACGTTGACATTGGCAGGTATCGGCGATGTGAGAAGTACGCGAGTGTTCTTTGGGAACAATGATCTAGATGTTAACCTTTCTAGGTCGTCTTGTCCGCCTAATCCCGGATGACCCCGATCACGATGACAGCGAGAAAGCAGCTATCAAGACTTTCTTCAACCACAGACTGCCCAAAGAACGGTCTTCAGCCCGAGATGAATGGCTGCAGATTGTAGAGGCTGAGCATGCGCTCTGGACGAATATCTCGACGGCGAAGAAAGAGCTCATACGATCGATACTCAACGTCGTCGCCTACGAGATCGTCAAGCGTCGCCGGCCCTCATCGAGTTTCGACTTCTCAGGTGCGAGTATCGGTAACTTGTTTCTTACTGGGTATGTAATTGATGCACTGCAACAATGTGTCGTTTCCATCTATTCGATAGATCAACTCTCGATTTTGGTTGTATCTGTCACGTTTATCATCGCGTATCCTCTTCAGCGCACCTACCCACATCAAGCTCCTCGAAGCTGACACTCACAGCGCTCGACTCTTCACTGGCTCGTTTGAGTCAGCCATCTACCTACTCTCCAGCATATGTTCTGTACCTAGCCACACGTCAGTCTTACCCGCGATCAACACCAACTTCACACACCACATCTCAGTCAGCCTCGCAAACGGCGACACCATCACCGGCCAAAACTCCATCTCCCACCCTTCCATATCCACAGCCCTGGTATCGGGAGGTGCACCAATAATCGATGAGACCGAACAGCACGATCGAATCGAAGACGCCAATTTACCCGGATCTTTACCGACTCTTCGAAAGCAGTATATCACTTTCTCCAAAGCGGATGAAGAGGAGCTGCCAGCCAGAATTGAAAGGCTCTGGTATATCAACCCCTATGGCCAGGAGATCCGGCTTTCCGCCAACCCAACGGTTCTCAATGCATTGAACGATGCGCAGGCTGTTATATACAGCATCGGCTCGCTCTACACATCCATCATCCCTTCATTGGTTCTCAAAGGTATCGGCGAAGCCATCAGCAACCCCGCGATCCGCTACAAAATCCTCATCCTAAACTCAACCATCGATCGCGAGACCGGACCGTCATCCAACCCATACTCCGCCCTTGACTTCATAGCCGCTATCGCCAAGGCATGTGAGGACTCCAAGAGCGTGTTTGGGCCTCTGGATAAGAGTCAGTACAAAAAATACGTCACGCACATCATCCATCTCCAAGGGCCAGGGACGCCGGCAGTCGACCGGGACGAGCTCAAGAGCATTGGCATTGAACCTATTCGCGTCTATGGGAAGAAACATGAGGGCGAGAATTTCGTTAGGTATGATGGCACGGCTTTGATCCAGGCGCTTGAAGTTACGATGGGGAAGAGGGATCCCAGGATGCCTAGTCGACGGAACACGTTGGAGGGGCCGGCGAGGTGAATGAGGATTTTCTTCTCTTCACGAATCAGATTAGGTCTTGCTTCCTTCCACAGCACGTTGTAGTATGTTCTCTTATTTTCCTCTTCTTGCAACGGCAATACTCGCCGTATGCCCCACCTCACCTCGCTAAGAACGAAGACCAAGCGCCTCTAGCTCGATTGCTGCCTGCGCTCTCGTCGTATAGCGCTTAGTATAAAGTCATTCGCGTGCACATTGCTATGTCCATTTCTCGCCATCTTCTGTCATGCTGCCCAGAACTTCAAACCTAACCCTCATTCTCCCACAATGCTAATTCAAACCCCCGTTCCCGATGAACACAAAAGCATCATGAACCACGAAGCATTCGATCGCCTCTACTGGTCCGTTCTAGACCCAGCAGGAATATCGAGCGTCCAAGTCGCTGAAGACAACGAAGACGCTTCCCCATCTTCCAGAGCCTACCTAACCAACCACCCCATCGCCCTAGAACCAGCAACAAAAACCAACGCCAACAAACTCATCTTCACCGTAAAGGACCTCGGTGTACACGCCAGCGAATGCCACATGTGGAGCGACGGCTTCGAAGTACCAGAAGATGGAGTCGAGAATCTAGAAGACGCCTGGAACTACTTCGTCATCGAGACGGAAGACGGTAGCCCGCTGCTCATCCGCGACGTAGTGAACCAATTTCACGCCTGGGCGAATCACCCTTTTATCGAAGACAAGATACGGGAGTCGTTACTTTATTTGTACAATGCGGGCAGCGACAATACAAGCCATGTACCGGAGGGTGTGAAGATATTCTTGGAATCGGTGGAGCAGTATGGGAGTTACGAGGGGGCTTGTGCGCCTGTTGTTCATGTGAATTTGTGGGTGGAAGGGTATGACAACAAGGATGCGGAATACTTCTGGAAATCGCGCGTTAATTCTCGGAAGTACTCGGTGGAGTAATTCGTTGCCGACAGCTTGAGTGCCTGGAGGTCTTTGTTGGTTTTGTATGTGCCAAGCAGGTATCTCTGTACTAAGCGCAGATCCTTCTCTTTCGGGTCGCCCCTTCTTCCCGTCTCGCTGTCGTGCCACTCCAGACTGACCTATGATGCATCGCAATCTACACGGCCATAGTTTGCTCGCAAAGTTAGGGACGCGAGTGTTCCCATTGAAAGCGCATATATCTGGTTGCTAGACCCATAACCTTTACCAGCTTTCTCATAGCGCAGACTTTAACGGTTCCATCACCAGCAAACTGTCATGGGCTCCATATTCTCATCAATCCACTCACCCGAGTCTCCGAAGCCAGACTCTCGGCCTCCTTATGATGGCCCGAATCGATACCCGAATGTACGTAACGGCCAGCTTGTCCCCGCCGAAGCGAATCCAACCATTTGGTACGAACGCTTGTTTGAGGTTGCGGACTGCGTACAACACCAAGACGCGGACAAAATCATCATATTCACCCCCATCTGCGATGAAGACAACGGCGAATATCCAGACCCCAGATCGAGACATGGCTGGCCAATTAAGCGTTTGCGAAAGGCGTACGAGCTCCTCGGTGGACCACACCCGCGGATCGTTCGGTACGTATGTCTCTACTCGTTTACTTGGCCGCGCTCAGTCTTTTAGGTATATCGGTGCGCTATACAGCACTTCGGGTGATGGCGTAGTCGTTGAAAGACTGGGACCAGGCCAGCTCAAGAGGGTTGAGCTGCCTGCGATGACAGTGCCTGTAGTAGCGCAAACGATGTCGCATGACGATAAGATTATGTTATCGCTGTATTACCGATGGGCAATACAAGCACTCTCCGCCTTCCGGTTCATGCATGCTCGATCCATCTACACTGGTTTCTTCTCATCACAACTTGTGTGGATACGTCCAGACTTCTCGCTCGCAGTGACTGGATTCATCAGCGCCACTGCACCAGAGATCGAGGACGAGTTCTGGAAAGATGCTGCTGAATGTTCGAAAGCAATACGACAAGAGTCCGGCTTACCAGAACCATGTGATCCGGATAACATGGCATCGGAGTGTAACTGGAGCGACGGTGAGTGGGTAGGGGACGACATGATATATGATGGTCCTTTTGATGTTACCCCGGAGCACGGAGTTTCATCAGGAAGTGTAAAGGCAGACATGTGAGTATTGGCGAACCATATTCCGCGCACATAACATGACTAATCGTACAATCGCACTCTAGCTTCTATTGGGCCACTTTCGTCTGGCGACTTATGACGAACGACTTCACTACTCTATCGCCATCGCGTCGTGGGCCTCGTGGTGGACTATGGGAACCTACGTATCCTATGGAAGGAGGCCACATAATTGACGATGCGCCAGATTTGTCCGAGATCATGCGTGAGAGAGAACGGCGCAAGATTTTCCAGCAGCTAGAGAGAACTAGACTGGGACATGTCCTGTTCGGCGCTTGGAATGAACAATATAGTACCGTGGATGAGGTCGTGCGTGACATTGAGTTGGCAGCAGCCGAGGTGGGCATAACCATCTCTGGCGACGAGGTTGATATCGGTAAGAAGTGGGAGGATGTGTTCGATTTCAAGGACGGGAGGCTGGGATTCAAAGTTAGATCTGATTAGGACAAGCTTGTTGGTTTTATATGTGCCAAGCAGGCACTATTAGCATAGTCCGCACTAAACACTAACTTTTTAGAATTCTAAAACTCTAACTTTTTACTAATATTTTTATACTAATTAATTTATAGTAGTAGCCTCTAACTACCTTAGCTAACTAAATATCTACGCTTACGTATAAATAGTTTAGAATAGCTAATATAGCTATATTTAAGAGTTTACTATACTTAGTATAGCTTTTCTAAACTTAATAAAATAACTTTAAAAGCTTAGCTTATAAAAATTTATATACTTTTAATAAAAGATAATAGCGTAAACTTAATTATACTATAGCTTTTATTAGTAAGAGTATACTATTAAGATACTAAGCTATCTTAAACGCTATTTACTAGTATATTTAAGTAGACTAAAAAGCTACTAAAACTTACTATAATATTATTTAGAACTTAGCTATAGCTATTAATAGCTATTTAGATTATTTTACTAACTTTACCTAGCTCTTTATTACTAAAGAACTCTAGAAATAGATATTAAAAGCTATTTACTTATTATTTAACTTTTTACTAGCTTTTAGAAGTAATACTAAAGCCTTTACTAGCTTATTCTACTACTTTTAGATAAAAGTAGTAAAAACTTTAAAAAACTTTATACTTTTATAAAAAGGCGCTACTAAAATAAAAGTAGTACTAATAGTAAAGCTAGTACTACGCTCTATAGCTTATCTACTACTTATAAATAATTATATTTTTATTACTTTTAGGCTAGTAGTATATATATAATAAGCCTCTTTATTTACTATATATAAGGCTATTATAAAAGCTATTAGAAATAGAATTACTCTATCTAATATACTTTAGACTAAAGCTATAAAAACTAGTTAAGCTATTATACTTTATAATAAAAATATTAAAGCTTATCTTATAAACTAAGAACTATATAAACTTATAATTAGAGTAGTTAAGAGTAAAGATACTAGGCTTTCTAAGCGCTAGATTAACTATATAGTTTAAAGTATTAATAGCTACTATAGATTAATTATAAATAGCTTTATCTTTACTTATTTAACTAAAGTTTATAATAAAGTACTTTTATAAACTAAAGTATAATTTATAAGTATCTAACTATTATAGTATAGCTTCTAAGAGAATAGAAGAATTACGTAGATTATTTCTTTTTTTACTCTAGTTTATACTTTCTACTTATTTAGCTAGAGTAACTATTTAAAGAAAATTTAAAAGAATCTACTTATTTTACTATATAACTCTAGCTATTAAAAGTATTATAAGATTATAAACTATATAAAAGTAGTTTACTATTCTAGATATAGTAAGTCTATAGCTATATATAAAAGACTAATTAAAAGCTACTAGAATATACTAAAGTGTTTTAACTACTATAGCCTCTATAAGGCTACCTACTCTAACTATCTAGTAGCTTTATTATAAGTTAATAAGTAAATAGTATACTTTATAAAAAAAATACTAATAACTATAAAGTAGTTTAGTTAACGCGTAATATTAGTAGCTACTATAGTTATAGTAACACTACTAATAAGCGCTTCTAAAGAAATACTTATTAATATTACTACTAATAATATACTTAGTTCTTTAGTATAAAGTACTACTATAGTAAGTACTAATAAGAAAAGCTATTTTATAAGTACTATACTTAGATAGAAATTAATAAGTAAGTCTAAAGTACTAGAATCTTCTAGGCTATAATAATTAGTAGTGCTAATATAAAACTTTAGTCTTTACTAACTTTCTACTAAAAGCTTTAGATCTAGAGACTCTAAGTATACTAACTCTTTCTTAATAGAATATATAGATACTAAAATAAGTACTAATTTAAACTTATATTAAGATAGCTTTTAAATAATAATAGTAATTACCTATAGAACTATAATAGCTAGCTTTAAATCTACTAGTCTAATATAGCTAGAAGCTTACTTTACTATATTTTTACTCTTTAACTTACTTAGAATACTAAAATTAATATTATTTATATTTAAGAACCTTTTACTATAACTAGTATCTAGACTTCTATCTACTTAGGCTACTATATACTCTTTTTAGTAATTAGCTAGAATAACTTTAAGATCTAAAAATATAACTACTTATAAGTTCTAACTTATATCTAAAAAGTTTCTAGCCTTAAAGCTAATATTATTTAGCTCTACTTTAGTAGAAACTTCTTATAAGTTAAGATTAATAAGTACTCTATTTTAAATTTCTATTAATAACTTCTAGATAACTTAATATTATACTACTTAGTCTTTTTAACTTTTTTTTTTAATTATCTTATTAGAGAGAATCTAAACGCCTACTATAAACTCTTTAAGCTAGAGTCTATTACTATATATAGTAGATTAGAAGTTACTTACTAGGCTAGTTAAAATAACTTTTCTTTTATTAGAGAATCTAAAGAGTCTACTTATT